AATTTTTAATCGATATATATCGATTAACTGCTATATATCGATATATATCTGCTTAAAAATTTTGCTGATGTTCTTGACCAATTTTTTATTTTGCCAAATACATAGTGGAACAATTTTTCAAAAAAAGAGTAGTATATCATAATTACTTGCTCTCTACTGTTAAGGGATACGTGAAGCGGGCCTAAAATAGGCAAGAAAAACTCAATTTGTTATGGAAATTAGGACTGTAATGCAGACAATATTCGCATATATAGGGCTTTTCTAATAAAAATTTGGTTGGGCCAGTCTACGACAACTGGCGCAACTGCCTATCCAAATGTTATGTCTTGTTATTTATTGACTATAAGTTTTAATGCACTAACATAATCTTGTACAGAATGTAAATTTTGTTCTTTAAATCCTAAGAGTTGAAGCCCTTTTGTCAATCGCTCTTCCTTACGTTCCTCTATATTATCTGCATAACTATGTATTGTTAATAGTTCGATTGGGTCAAAATTATTACTAACTATATGACCTTGTGATTGCTGATAATCCAAGTATGAAATATCAAATATTCTAGCATATTGATTAAGCAAGTACCAACAAATCCTTGGTGCTTCTATGTTTGCTGGGTTGTGAATTGATATATCATTAAATACAAGTGATACAGAAGGACACCCTATGATAGGTTTTGCTACACATGTAGCGAAATGGTTTGCTGTTAAAGTAGATACCGTATCAGGCCTACGGTTCTCGTGAATGGAGTGATAGTCATCAATATTATAAACATGAAAATTATTCTATTAAAAATATGAATTTATTTTAATAAATATATTTTAATATATTATATAATAAAATACAATACAATATTACATGTTCTAAAAAATAATTATCGATTTTTGCTGAATGCTTTTTTTGAAATTTTTTTGATATATATCTACTGTCTTGGAGCACACCAAATATCCAAGACTTGATATTGTGTCAATAGCCTCCCACGTCACACCTGATGCTCTCAAATACAACCCTACTTCTAATTTATGCTGGTTTACAAATTTGTTGCATAAACTCATGATTAAATAGCACAACCCAACTACCGATTTTTTAGCTTCACTTATGCTATAAGCAAAGTGCTCTTTAGGAATAATTGCTTCCGTCATAAAATTAAAAAAACCTTTAAGATCCAGATTAATTGTTTCAATCATTCGTTTGAAATTTACCAGATCCAATTCTAAACTAGTATGTTCTCGGTGTTGTTGATAGTATAATGCTTTAGTTAGCATATCTATACTTGAAGTGAATGTATTCTATTTTTAAATTAATAAAAAATACATAAATATATAAAATAAATAATTTATAAAAAAAAAATTAAATCTAAAATAAAATGCATCAATTGAATTATTTGATTGAAGGTTTATTGGCTCTAGCACATTTTCAGTTTGAACATGTCTTTTGACATACGGCTCTACTAGTTTGCAATAATGTGGATGGTATAGTTGTTTTCTAACCTCAAGGTAAGGATATGCTTCTAATGTTTGTTTCCTTTGGCATTTTTCGTAAGCAAGCACTGTAATTGTATGAAATTGAATATTGGTATTTGTATAACTGATAATTGAACAAGGATCCAAATTTTTGGTAGGCATTTTTGCGTAAATTTTGCCTTTTTTTTTTTAGATAAAAATGATTAGTCATCGCAAATAATAAATATTTCTTGTGCTTTAAAAAATAGGAATAATAAAACTTACTATAAACCTTGGTCTTGGGAAAGAGAAGCCTGACCTGGAGAAACTTGACCCAGAGAAACTTGACCCAGAGAAACTTGACCCAGAAAAACTTAACCTGAGAAACCTAACACTAGCAATAACGAAAGGCCCTGGAGAAACTTGACCACACCTGACCAAGGCAAAAATTGGCTAACAAACTTGACCCGGCGAAACCTAACTCGGTGAAACTTGATCTAGAAAACTTAACTGCTGAAGCTTGACTACGGTGAACTTAACTACTGCAAAGCTTGAATATGACAAAACTAGACTACAACAACAATCCACACTTTTTCAATCACATGTAAACTCAACTACGCGGAAACTATACAAAATACTGCTCTATTTGCGACAAATGCTTAGCCACAAAATTTTTAATCAGCAAGATCATACAAATATAAAATTTTACTAATTTTATTAGCCAATTATATTTAACAATTTAGGATCTGTGATTTACATATGTGTAGCCAATAAAATTGAACTTCCGTCATGCTACAAAATTTTCAAAAGAGCAAACTTTCACAAGCTAAGAAATGAAGCACTAAAACGCAAGAAAAGAAATAAGAGAAACAACCCAGCAAAATCACAAAGCACAATTTAAAAAAAATGCCACCAACAAAGAAGGTGACAGCTTTTTCGCGTGCTCAGGAGTTTCCTGAAGATTTTGTAGTAGATTTCACCAAGCTGATGTGTCGCTTTTGTGGACGCAGTGTTAATTATAAGAATAAAGCATATGTAATTTCTCATTTAAATTTAAAAATACATAAAAAAAATCGAGAAACTTATCTTAATAATAATCAAAGCACCCAACAACAAACTCTTCCCTCTGCAATAAAAATTGCTAATATAAAGAGAGAAATGGTCTATGATTTGCTTGAAGCCTGGGTTGGTGCCAATACCCCACTAGAAAAATTTGATAAGTTTCGTGGATTTTTAGTTAAATATTGTCGTAAAGATGGTATTATTCCAGGTTCAAATGCATTGAGAAAACAGTATTTGATGAAAGTATTTCATAAGCATATAGAAAAACTTTGGAATGAATTTGTAGGAAAACCTGTTGCCATAATTATCGATAAGACTACTGACAGCTGTGCTCGTAGTATTGTTAATGTTCTATTCAGTTATAAGGGAAAGTCAAAGTTAGTTTCGGTAGAATTCTTACAAGAAGTCAATAATACTAGTATTGGTCAACTTATTTTATGAATTTTAGTAGAATGGTCTATTCCTTTAACTTCTCCACAGCTTATAATATCAGACTCAGCAGCCTATATGAAAAAATGTGTGCGTGAAATACTTGTTTCAGCAATACCACAAATAAGACATAATCCTTGTCTGGCTCATATTCTAAATTTGATTGGGTATTTATTTTTACTTTATTTTATTTATTT